GACAGTCCACACTGGGGTACAGGGAGTGAGGAAGGCTGTTCCAACACTTTGTAGCTGTCAGGGCTGGAGGGTGCTAACAGACCTTAATGCCCCTTGACTGGCCTCACCTGGAGCCCTCTACCCACAGCCTCTGTCCATTGGCCCAGGGGCTCCATTTAAGGTCTGGTCTCAGCCTTTGTTCTTTGTTTGGGCTGTGTTGGAGGAGTATATGTTACTAGTCTGGGCTTGGTCTCCTTGCTGGATTTTGAACTTATGTTGTATCCTTTTCTTTAGTCTTGTCTCTATGTTCAGTCTTTGGATGGACTCTGGATGTGATTCAGCACCTGTCAACCAGCTGCATTATCTGCTCACCACTGCTGTGCTCAGGTACTGTGAGACTGTGCTGCAGTCACAGCTCCTGGGAAGCCTCATTTGTGGAGCAGCCTGTTCCTTTCTTCTCCCTTCTGGCCCATTTGTCTTGGTTCTCTTTCAAGGCAAACCACAGAATGGGGCAAGAACCTATGTTGTGAAGTGGAGCTAGAGCAGAGCCAGAAGAGTTTTTTGATTCTGCAGTATAAACTTTTCAAAAGCTTTTAGGAGGATTAATCAATAAAATAAATATTAAGATTTACAAAGTCTTTAAGCAAAATGGTGCAAGTGGTTCCTTTTCCTAAGAGGACATCAGAGCACCTCAGAAATCCCTTGTGGAATCTCTGTGTATTGATCTATAGGTATCTAGAGAAGGTGAATAGTGAAGTAATGAGCTGCAGATGCTAAAACAGAGCTCTGAGATGGTCAGGGCTAGAAGTGATGTGTCCCTTCTCAGCACAGATGCTTCATGCTTGCAAGCATTTTCTGCAGGAAGCAGCTACTGCTTGGCACTGTGCAGACAAAGATCAAAGGCATGAACAGGCTGTGAGTGGTGATGGGGAGTTCCTGACTCTTTCCAGAACAGTGTCCTGCTTGCACAAATGGCAAACCACTAGAGAGCAGCATTAGATCAGGACTTCTGTTAATGTGCCTGAATGGCTTGTGAATGAAACAAAGCATTAGGGTGAGGTTTGTAGTTAGATACTGGGCTTTCAGAGCAGATTTTATCAGAACCAGGGAAGATGTAGACCAGTCAGTCCCATTTAGCTCAGCCCTTGGATACTCAAATACTGAACCCAGCCTTTGTAGCTTGCCTGCAGGAACCCAACTTTCCCCATGCATCAAGTTCAAAAATGCCAATAAAGTTCTCTTTAGCCCACAGTTACTGCAAGCCAGATAAAACCAAGTTAGTTATAAAAGTTGAGTTGATTCTTGTTTCTAGCCATGATCTCAGGTTGAGGCTCACTGTCACCCATAGTTATATCCAGTGCAGAATTGCTGGACTTGCACATCTCCTTTCTAACATTATGATATAATTCTGACACTGGAAAGGTGAGAGAGAAATGATGGCAAAATACCAGAGATCCCATTGCTGCAGGGGTGGTTTAGGAGGAACCGAGTTCAAACATGCATTGATTTCAAACTAATCTCAACATATCTCAGTATTTACACTGGAGATTTTTTTCTTTTAAAGAATGAATCTTTCATTTAAAAAAAAAATGTACCTGAAATATGTCAATATATGCTACGGCATAAGATATTGTCAGGGGCAATGGGTGTGAGCTGGAACACAGGAGGTTCTGCTTAAACTTGAGAAGAAACTTCTTTACAGTGAGGGTGACAGAGCCCTGGGACAGGCTGCCCAGGGAGGGTGTGGAGTCTCCTTCTCTGGAGACATTCAAAACCTGCCTGGACGCCTTCCTGTGTGATCTCATTTAGGTTCCTGCTCCAGCAGGGGGATTGGACTGGATGATCTTTTGAGGTCCCTTCCAATCCCTGACATTCTGTGATTCCAACCTATGCTAAAACTGACTAGTTATATTAAAGCTAAGACTCAACTGTTTCTATATCAAGCATAGTATATGCTTGGTAGTAACCTTTTCTAGGAAGGGTTTGCTTTTCCTGGCCGGTAACTCAGACCCGATTTACAAAATCTTATTTTTGTGCTTGTGACCTTTTCTGCAAAAGCCAAAATCTTTTTCTTGTAATTGATCAAGGTCAATTATTTGATTATTCTACACTGATTAACTGTTTGGCAACTGAAAAGCAGGAAAGCTCATTTTCTTCTCCCAATCAGTAAATAATGAGGCATGAATGCAGGCTTTCACTAATCCAAGCATCCTGAAGGACACAAGATACTGTTTAACAACATCATTTTAAACACAAGGGAGGTTTTGTGCATGTTTCTATTATTTAACTCTTTTCAGCCTGTTGCAGTATAATAGTTTCATTTAATGACTACAAAGTTATTTTAAAATGCTCTTCAGCAGAATCTGATTTCTCTCCAAATGCAGTGTCACACAAAACAGGTTTGAAAAGAATTGTCATGTAATAAATGCAATACTTTCTATTATTGTGACTTTAAAAAAAATTAGGACTTTTAATGTAGTAAGAACAACTGGCCCGTTTAAACATGTAGAAATAGCTGAGAATCCTCCTGAAAAGTAATCAGCTGTGAAAGGTGAACACACAGCTGAGTTAAGCAAACTGCTTGTTCACTTGCAATTGTCTGCATAACCTTTTCTGCAAATAGCTGAGAAACTGAGTGTTAAGAGTGATATTTCACTGGATCCTTAGGTTGTTTCTGATGATACCTATTGCTGATACAGAGCTAGGAAAAACTTGATACTTAAACACCAACAGGTGTTTGTTTTTCCTGTCTTTATCATTTAATATGCCAAGAGGGATTTGGATTACATGGTGGAAGGAGTGATCATTCTCTGCTGTGGAATGAAGGTGAAACTAAGTAAGCGTCACTAAGAATGTGATAAACATCATATTAAAATTGCTAACAAACAGCAGTGATTAAATATCTGGCAGATCAAGGACAGGGTGGCTAAGAATGAGAAATTTCAAAAGACAGTGTAAGAAAAGGCATACAGGAGAAAGAATGCAAGTTACAGATGTGTAATCAAATTATTTGGATAAAGAATGAGACTGAGACCTGAACATTATTCTGCTAGAATATCAAAGCAGACAATTTAGACAAGCGGCATCAAAAAGGAAATTTGCATCTATGAGACAGCTTCTCATAATGTGTTATCAGGTGAGATGAGACTTTGGTCTATTAATTAACCTTGAAAAATACCCAATTCTTTCTGGCAATCAGGGAAATTATTTAAACCATGGGATAAATCTCCTCACTCGAGGGTTACTCTGGTCTGCAACAGGAGTCAGTAAAGCATTACAGCCTTCCAGGGAATGCAGAGCTGCATGGCAGATCTTCAAAGGGCTCTTCCATCCCTCCTTGCTGCTTGCCTGGAGTGACCCAGCTCCAGGCTCTGCACAGTGATCTCCTCTTGTTCTCTTGCTTTTGTTGTCTAATACCTTCTGCTCTCTCCCCTGTCATTTTGTGATGTGTAGCAGCAGCAACGTGCTCCTGTGAATCTCTGTCTTTTGAACCTCATCTTGAACATATGCAGACGTTGCTCAGAAGTGTATGGGAGAACCTCTGGTTACTGGTGCAACAAACTAAGGAGGACTTCTGGACTTCATCCTCTTATCAGCCAAAGCAAAAGGGATCCTTTGTGTCTGCACCTTGTTATTGCAGTATAATCTACATGGAAATTATAACCGTAGATGAATTGTGGAAGTCACAGAAATGTGGAATATATTAATAGTTTAGGTACAAACTATTAGTATGATAAAATGAAAATATTAGTATCCCTTTATATAATATCAGCTAAAATTTTCCTAGCAAAGTACTCCTTAAAAACAACGGCCCATACATCTGTCTGGAAAGACACTCTCTGCTGTTTCAATCTGCTGTGAACCATAAAGATTCCTCTGAATTTTGCTTTTGCAAGCAATTCCAAAGGTTTTCTTGCTTGTTTTTTAGAGATCTGATGCAGCAAATCCTTAGGATTTTCTATAGCAGTAGGTATAGGATTTTCTATAGCAGTAGGTACAGGATTTTCTTTAGCACTGGAATAGGCTGCCCAGAGAGATTGTGGAGTCTCCATCTCTGGAGGTGTTCAAAACCCACCTGGACTCTTTCCTGTTCAACCTGGTGTAGTGAACCTGCTTTGGCAGGGGGGTTGGACTGGATGATCTCCTGAGGTCCCTTCCAACCCCTTCAATTCTGTGTTTGTGCAGAGGCTGAAGCTGGGAGGAGAAAGCAACATGTGCCTGCCTATGATGGTGTGCGCGTGGTTTCAACATGAATGTTCCCACTGTGTGGCTTAACTCTTACAGTGTGGGTTTTCTGGGATGCACTCTGCATTTTTAGGCTTGTTTCTGTTCGTGGACATCAAAGGAAGGAGGGCTTCCTAGAAAATCACAAGCCAAAACTCTGGGAGCTGGTGGTTTTATTTATTTGTAACCTCCTGAAAGACACACAATCACTGCTAGTGATGATTATATGGCAAGATATGGTGTTGGAAAAACAATGTCAACCAACAATTTCTAGCTCCAAGTGCTCCTGGCCAGCAATGCCTGGCTGAGAGCTGTGCACAGAGGTGGCCGGCTGACAGATGGGCTCTGAGGAGCAGGGTGGCTCCTGGCAGCAAGCTAAAGAGTTTCTAGGACAGGTGGTTAGTGTGGATGGATCAAAGAGGTCCCTGACATTGAGTTTTGCTGTAAATAGACGGCTACCAGATATCCTGTCCTTCGGTCAGCAGTGAGGGGACCTGCAGCAGCTCAGTGGCTCCTTCTTAGAATTAAAGATGAGTCACTTTAGGGTTGCTGGATTTTCTTTCCTATTGCTCCACTTCCTCTGTTTTCCAAAGATAAATAAGAAATGAGAGCCTGGCTATTCTCTTGAGAGGTCCTGCAGCATGTTTGTTTTGTGAAAATACTTTTTGTTATCTAATTTTGTTACACTTGTTAACAGCAGCAGCAGCAGCTTTCCCATAAAACTTGCCCCAACTAAACTGACCACAGCTTTGAGAACTGAGCTGCAGAGCTGAGAAGATCATCTTGGAAACTTGAAGATGAAGTACTTTCTTTTACCAACTCATTTAGCATTTCTCTATAGCTTTGCACTAAGTAAACCTGTCCAGGTGTGTCCCTGCTCTCAGATGTTGAGAATTTACATTTCTACTGCTGAGTTGCTTTATCTTAAAATTTGTTACAAACTTCTACTGCTGCGATTCTACAAGATAGAATTTTTCTGCTATACAGATAAGCATGTATTAAAATGTATGCTTTTTTTTTTTTTTTTTTTCAGAAAGCTACAAGAAACAATGACTTAGGTGAGTCTGATTGTAATATATAAATATCTGTAGGTTTTGGTGGGGCTGCTTCTCTATACCTCATTTTTATTATTCAGTATGTTTTTCTCTTTGAAAATATTTTCCAGCATCAGTGGAAAAAAATTCGCAGAATTCAGATGTGTTTTAAAGTTGTATTCAATGTGATTATTTATGCTGTCATGATAAAGACATTAAGAAGACTTATTGAGCAATTGCTACATGGAAGGTTCTTTTCCATACATTGCCTCAACAAATCAGAATCCTTTTCACTTCGATTTCTTTCCTGTGTGATAAAAGGCACTTCCCAGTCTGTTGTACCCAAGACTATTGTACATTTTTGGCATAATAACCAATAGCTCCTGTCTCTGAGAAATGTATTCCAAGTATTTTGGAGGCAGAGCTGAGGAGCATGTTACAATATCTTATCTCAAATTAACAGTTAACTTGGAAATTAACAGCTCACATGCACTCAATATGCTTTATAAAAATAGTAATTTCTTTTGTGTGATTCATCCCCTTTTTACAGAGGTCAGTTACAATTTTTAATTCCACAAGCTCTAATGAAGAGACCAATGACTTGTAATATTTAGCCTTCCACTCTGAAGGCTTCCAAAGCTGCTTAAGCTAAAATATATTTAGTCATGACTTTGATTACAGCTGCACTGTGACATCTCTATTAATATTAATCTTTTCTCTCCAGGAAGCAAGGCAGACCTAAGCAGTGTTAGCATATTGTGAATGCTGGATTCACTCAGTCTTAATTTACTGATTCTTTTTCACATGGTTGGGAAATGAACTTCAGTGAAAGAAATTTCCAAAGGTGTACAATAGCTTGATTAGTATATACCTCTCATCTCCCTTTTGCACATCTATTTATCTTCTCTGTGCCTTTTATGTTCTTTATTTTCTTCACCTGCCAGGCAGTGAAATAGCTGTGTATGAAGGAGACATCCTCTTGAGAAGAGGACGACGCAGTGCAATTAACTGTGAGAGTTGTTTATGGCCCAAGTCACAAGATGGACTAGTCAAGGTTCCAATTAACATCTCTTCTGATTTCTGTGAGTGTACGCAAATAGATGCTGTAAAGTTAGCACTGATCTTCTGCTCCCTATGCTTTCTGGCATTTGATGTTTCTGTGGCACACACCAAAAGCAGTCTTTGTCCAAATGAGAATCTACTGACATGTCTCTCTTGCTAATCTGTTAGCCCTATGGTAGTTTGGCTAAGACTCCAAACATTTTAGCTACAGACACTAAAATATGTGGTTACTTGGGTAGTAGTTGTTATATAAATACCAGCTAATTAATGTTAATTACAAATATTAGCTCATTCCTTCTAGCTACAATGCGCTTTGATATTTAACAAGTACAGAAGAAATCTAATTTGTTCACATTATGAATGTATTTTGTCAAAATTACCACTAGGAACACTTCTTTGAACACTATAATTTTCTTTCAAACCTGTCATAGAAATATTCCCACACTAGAAATCCTGTAGAGGCAAAAATGGAGAAAAAATCCTTGGAAATACTTTTTCCCTTCTTATTTCCCTCTAGTCAGTCAATAGTTCTGTTCTGTGCAAAAGGCTGCAGGACCGATGCCTTAATCTAGAAATTTTTGTTCCAGAAGACTTCATCTGGGCTATGCAGGTCTTCCATCTCTTCTCTGATCTGAGGCTTCCTTACAGACCCTTCTTAAAAGATCTTACCTTGAGAGAAAATGGCATGGAAGTGAAATACATCCTGTTCCTGGGAAAGGGGAACCTGTGTTATGATTTTTGCTGAGGAGAGCCCAGTCTCTGTGTTATCTAGGCTGTTCCTCTGCCCATGTGCTTCCAGAACTGCAGCGTATACTCTTGTGGTTAGGTGAGGGTTACTCTATCTACCTCCCTCTCTCCAAACTTTAAAGATGAGAAAATTGAGATACAAATCAGTTGTAGATGATTCATAACTCAGGAAGCCAAATTAGGCCAAAATGTTCAAAAGTAGATAAACACTCTGATCTTTATTTGGTACCTGAATAGAAACACTGATCTTCAGAGCCTCCAAACGCTGATTGTCTCATGGGATTCCAAGGGGTGTGTGGCTGATGTTTGTTCTCTCTGATAAACAAAATAGGGTTTTGGTGCCTAGCTATGGTCAGATGGCTCATTTGGGATACTTCAATCCAATTATTTGTATCTGAAACGGTTTCATTTTTTCCATTCTGTCTAATAGAAGGAACAATGTCATCTTTTGCTTTCTATCAGCTGTCTCCTATAGAATATGGATAAGGGCCAGCTATAGTTCTTACATCTCCCTTTAAAAGTCCAATCAACTAGAAGATCTCTGAAGGCTTTGTGCTGTTTTTTATTACACTTGCATGATAAAAAGCTAGTAAGTGCTGTGAAGTTTTAAAGGAATGCACCCTGGTTTCCATCAACCAAGGAAGATTTCTCCTGGCCCTTTTCTCTTTCTAGCAGTGACAGAGAGGTCTTGGATTGCTGATGCTCTGCAAGAGATCTCCACGCTGACCTGTGTGCAGTTTGTAAATCGCACTACAGAAACAGACTACGTGTATGTTGAACGTGGGCAGAGGTAAGCTCCTTGTCTCCTGGGAGTGGAAGCACTCAAAAGGTCTTTCAGCTTCTTTTCTGTTTTGATCTGGATTTAAGTAATTGCCCTTTTTAATCCTAGGAGTCAAGTTTCAGAGAGCAGGTGCAATTTTTCATTTTTCTGATGTAACTACCAGCCTGTCTAATAGGCTGCAGGAACAAATGTGTGTGTGGACTTAGAGATAATGGGGTATAATTCAAAATGAGATTTTCCTTAATAGTTGTAAAAATGTAAAGAAGTATAATTGTTTAAGGTTCTTTGCTTAACTACTTAAACTGCTTCATCTTCATTTGATATAGCCATTTTATTGTTTTAAAGTTTGCCATACTCATAACAAAGGCTTTATTTCCCCCCCTGTGTAGTTTGGCAGCTTTTGGAAGCCTAGATACCTCACAGCAGTGACTATTTGCATGTCCCCTTCTGTGGCTGCACAATTAATATGTCTGTTTCTTTTGTATTTGCTGAGTGTGATAAATTTGGTTATTGATTGCCTATTCTTAGCTGCTGGTCTTACTTTGGAAAAATTGGAGGGCGTCAAGCAGTAGGCCTGATGAAAAATGGTTGCATGGATAAAGGAGCAATTCAGCATGAAATGAACCACGCGTTGGGTTTCATCCATGAGCAGGCACGGAGTGATCGGGACAGGTTTGTCAAGATTATGTGGGAACACATTGTGGCAGGTATGTCCACTAAATCTTAAGAGAAAACATATACTTTCAGATAAAGGAGAATGTTTCTTCTGTGAACAGCCATGCAAATAAGAATCATGATTAATGCTGGCTGAATTGCAGCAGCAGCAGCACATTCAGTGTGATGGAATTCCTCATTCAGTGTTTGTAGGAGGGGAATTTCTGTGGCTACACCTACATTAGTGTGATCCTCCAAGGCAGATGCAGCCTAAAAGTAGCTCTGTGCTCTTATATTGATCACCATCTTGAGCCCAGACTCACCTTAAATCAAAAAAAAAACCCCAAGCTAATCAGGAATGCAAAATGTTGTTGCAAATACTTGGCCAGGAGGCAAGACTATGGGACTTTTAGCTGAGGTGGGGTGAAATGTGATATTCAGAGATCATGGTGGGGAATACCACAGCAACTCTATCTCAGGGAAAGCCATGGAAAAAAGGAAGGCAGCAGTTAGGCATCTTGGCACTGGGAGAGACTGAAAAGCATTTAGCCTAAAATGTAGGTGAACAAGGGACTTAATGCGGAGAGAATGGAAGCACCTGCAACCACTAGCATGTGTAAAACTCTGGGACCTGGCATGATGTGAGAGGAAGGACTGCAATTATCTCCTACTTGAAGAGAGAATAATATACACTGCCATGAAAAGAAGGAGTGATCAGGACTGGTAAATCTGTAGAGGGAAAACAAGTGAATGTTACTTAGGGCAAGGATGAATAGTTTGGGCATGTGCCCTTGATCTGTGTGCTGGGAATGTGGGAGCATATACAGAGCTCCAGACTCTGAAGAGGGAAGGGAGAGATTGGTAGGTCCCAGGGAAAGTGAGAAAGTGGTACATAGAAGGGAAGAAAGGATGCAAGGAATCACTTGTCTAACAGCTATGAGGTAGTTAGAGAACCCACAACAACTGTAAAAAAAAAAACAAAAAAAAACCAAAAAAAACCCCAAACAACTTATTTAGAGAAAATAATAGTAAATGAGGCTGGACAATTAAATACCAGATTTTAGTAAGTCTCTTCAACAAATAAGATATTCAAATCTTCAGTGTCACACACAGCTTTTTCTCCAGATGGAACTTGATTGTTTTTATTGCAGATTCCTAACACACTGTTCTCTAAACTTTTTTTCAGCTATTCCCATGATATCCTAAGTAAATTCCATTTGTGCTGTTCTTTATTGAGGTTTCGGCTTTAGTGTTATGGTGTAATTTTGCTAGGAATTGTTTGCCATTGTACAACAAGGATGTGCCATTTGAAATGCTAGCAAAGAGGAGTTGAAAACATGAAGTTATACCAAAGATCCTAGACATATAAAATCTTACACTAGTTCTGCAGGGGAAGTCCACATGTTCAGATGTCATAATTCCAAAAGGATACTGATGTAACCAAGCTTGGATTCAGGCACAGTATCACGAAAGGATAAAAGAGGAGGAAGAGGTGAAGAAGATAAGACTATGCAAAAGGAGACGGGGTACATCTTCAGTGTTTTCACAGCATTCACCAGGAATGGAGGCTGAGAAGATTGGGGGGAGTTAGAAT